AATGTATGCAATGTGTTAATTATTGAAACTGTACTACCAATTTGATTTGAAACTGTCTCATTGCTATTTGTTTATCAATAAAATTATGGAAAAAATACTTAATAGGTAAACACACACACAAAAAAAAAGAAAAAAAAAGAAAAAAAAAAGAAATGTCAGCCAGAATGAGAGAATGCTAAAAGTGACATTGCCCTAATGAATATCTGGGAGTCCTATGCATGGCCCTGATAGGACTATTGATATTTCTCATACTACAGGTATTTTAGTTTCTTTTCTTTCACTGCTGAGAGAAAATACCCAATGCCCAAAGTTTAAGGGGAAGAGGTTTATTTAGCTCACAATTTGTAGAAGTTTTAGTCCATAATCCACTGACTCCAAGGGCACTATGGCCAATGGGCAACAATTCATGGTAGTGGAAGACAGCAAAACCTCTTTCTGCCCCTTTTCTCCAGACTGCTGGGATTATGGTGGTGCTAATACAATTAGTGGATTGATCCTGCCATCACTCACCTTTATTCCCAGCACCCTTATTTCCAACATTGCACTACATATCAGTCACACACTCTAGATTTAGCTGCCTCTCAAAAGCCCCCCTCATGTCTACATGAGGCAGTGAGGGGACATCCAGACATAAACCACAACAGGTTATGTTCTATTGTTCCCATGAATGATCTTTTGAATGTCAGAAAAATACCCATCAAGCAACTTTTTTTTTGTGGCAGAACCAGGGATTGAACTCAGGCTCTTGTGCTGCCAGGGATGCACTTATTCTACTGAGCCATCTCCCTGGCCCAAGGGACTTATAAATAAATGTTGTCTCTTTCTTGCTTTCCCTTCAAGACATACTTGCAAATAGAGTTACCCTCTCCTGGGCAGGCCAGGGCAAAAAGTATTTTATATAATCTTGTTCCAGCCTTTTAGATCTTTTTTTTTGTAGGCTGAGCTGAAACAAATACCTTTCTGAGAATAGGACCATAGGGATGGGCTTATATTTGATTCACTAAGACTCTGGAGTTTCTTTTCTCTTGCCTTTTTGCCTTTGAAATCCATCCCTGCGTTGAGTGTTGGAGAAGTGCCCAACATTGGGGAAAATTAAAACATTAAAAATGGCAGCCATCCTCTTGTACAGGAGAGTCTTGATTTAATTTTCCAGATTGGTTCTTCTATTTATGTCTCTTGGGCCCTTGGCTGATTGATCTTACAGGAATTTGTTGTATTGCCTGCTTCTTTGAATCAAATGTGGACATAGCAACTAAAAATAAACACAGTGTGGCTATTAGAGAAGGGAGGCCTCCTTTTCCTGGGGAGTGAGGGTACTTGCTGTTGCTAAGCTGTTTTCTGGCTTTAGCACAACATTGATCATTGGCGTGCAGCTGTGTTTTGGACTGGAGAGCTGACAGAAGTGCAAAGGCACACTGATGAGCATTATCTTGAACAATGAGTACAAATGCAAATCATTATGTGTAATTCATAATATTGTTCCCATTTTTATGGATCTTCCTACAACGTGATTGTGTGTGATTTGCTATACTGAGAACTAGAAGCATGTCAAAACATTGTTTCCATTTGAGAAGAGTTTTGTCAGAAATTTGAAAGACAAGTAAATATGCCAGCATTTCAGCTCTTTGTCGCATTGTGAGTGGATAATGATTTTGACATTAGAATCTGGCTGAATGTTTGATTGATTGTTCTGACTTGATACCATTTTCCTTATTATCTTATCAAAAGACAAGTGGAGATAGAATACAAAAATTCCTTGAAGAATTACATTGAGTAGGAAACTGTTCTACGCAGTAAGTTTGTGCTAAGAATGTGGGATCTTAATGAAGGGTCCCATTTAAGGACCAGCTTGCCTGGGTTCAAACCATGGCTCACCCCACAGATGACTTGTGTGATCTTGGGGATATTATTTAGCTTCTTAATGTCAGTTTCCACATCTGAAAAGGAAGTTGATGATGATAATTTTATCTTACAGAATTGTGAAAATTAACTGCTTGATTGCTTACTATTGTACCTTGCATAATTACACATTATATAAGTTTTATCTGGTAAAGTTGTCATTTATTATTATAGCTATACAGTGTCATATCCTTTTTAGTAGCACTGGACTAAAGGATGAAGTGGGAGATCAGTCCCAGACTTTCACTTGTTTTGCAGTGATTTAGCAGTGTTCAAAAATGTTAAGCCAGAATACCTTTGCTTAAACCATAGCATTTTTCCATCATGGCATTGTTATAGAAGTTGTATTATGCCTAAATCAAAATTGAATCTATATTTAGTGTTCCGGAATTTTTCTCAAAAATGCTTTGCTTTTTGGCCATTAAGTTGTCCTTTTTTAAAGTTTTTAAATAAAGTCTCAATTTAGCTTCTCTGATTCTGGTCTCAAAGAATTGCCTCTGCCTCGCTTTATGATGTCAAAGAATGATGGTGAGATGCGATTTGGGAATCCTGCCGAACTGCATGGAAGTAAGGTTCAGATACCATACTTAACCACAGAAAAAAATTCCTTCAAAAGAACGGACGACGAGGAAAAACAGGTAAACAACCCGATTAGGCATGTTCATTTGATTCTGACCATGAAACCTCATGTAATGGGGCCTCTTATCTGTCATTGAGCTTCCAGCAAATCTTACCATCTGGAACACAATTATAGAGTTGGAAGTGAGCCAGTAAAGTTTCCTTGTAACAAGAAAAAGAGCCTAATGCATAGGAATTACCACAAGCCACCGATGGGCTCTTTGGAGCCTACTTAAGAGAATTGTGTCTAAAATAAGGCTACTGATTTAATACATGTATTTGATTTGTGTAGGTCAGTGGTTTTCTAAATAGATTCTTTGCAGTATAACTCCTAGGAGCTGCAAAGGTTTCTCTGGTTAAATATGTGAGGAGAATGCAGCTTCATGTCTCATTCTTTGGGAAAAGACTAAATCTTCAGTCTTGGAAATGCATTATACACAGTGATACAGTACAGATCTGAGAAATCTTACAGTAGGGGCCTGGAGATAAGGGCTTACTGAACTCTTTTCTCCAGGGCAATCCTTCCTTGAGGAACATGTGAAAAGGGCTATCTTGGGAAATGCTGCTGTTATTCATTTAACAGTTTTGGAATCAGAATAGGGAAGGTGGGCTTTTAAAATTAGGCCACTAATTGCAATAGTTAGATGGTGATTGATAGAGACAAAAGTATGATATCACCATAGAGGGGCCTATCAAGAAGAGCTAAATTGGGCTGGGGATATAGCTTAGTGGCATAAGCACCTTTCTGGCAAGCACAAGGTCCTGAATTCAGTCCCCAGTACCAAAAAAAAAAAAAAAAAAAAAAGAAAGAAGAAGAAGCACTAGTTTTCTCATTGGTAGACCGTGAGGATATCAGTATACAACTCATAGTTCTGAATAATATCTAGAAGTCAAATTGTGTTTGACATAGTGTCTTCTATAAGATAAAGGAATTTGTTATATTTTAGGAAGATTTGAATAAAAATATTTTAAAATTCAGTGAATATTAATGAATATTGAAAAATTAACTTGTGGCTTATTTTGATTATGTTGAACAGGAGATATTGCTACAGAAAATTTATAGTTAAGGGATATTTAGTACATCCATTAAACAATTGCATTTGTTGTACTGTTATTGTTAACATTACTGCAATTGTGTGGTTATTTTTATGATTTGGAGACATTTTAAACTAGATTTTCAGGAATATATTAAAGGGTGGGTTATGGTTGGTCATGGTAGTGCATGCTTATAATCTCAGCATTCTGTGGGAAATTTAGAGACCTAGTAAGATCCTGTCTCAAAGAATAAAAAGAAATTTTGGATTGTAACTCAGAGTGAGGGCCCTGAGTTCAAGCCAGTATTCTATGAGTGTTCCTCTATCAGCATTTGTGGAAGAATGAAGAGCCACTGGTCCACAGTGGGTAATGCCAGTCCACAGCTGTATGGGTATTGTTCTACCTTTTCACTCCAGGCTGGGTTTTTACTTGGTGTACCCCTTCTATGGTATGGGAACACATTTCAGAGCAATACATTTTCCGTTTTCTTGAAGAAGAGTATTTGATGAGTGTCTCAGATTGCATATTTCTCTTCAGACTAAAGAAGCCAGGATAGTCTCTGTAAATACTATTTTTATGACTTTATTACCTTACAGTACTACTCTGTTGGTAATGTTAAAAAGGGAGGGGGAAACCCTGGGACAGATCAGATTGTTTATCTTGTCTAGGGTCCAATCTCAGGTTTAAATTTGATTTTGGAAATAAGCTAGAGCTTGTGAAGATAACTTCCTAGCATTTAGGAGCAGGCTAGTGGATTTATTTACTCACAAAGTATTGTTTTGCAGCGCAAAACAAAACAAAACAAAATGAAGAGCTGCCATTTTAATTTGCCATAGTAAACTCCAGGAGTACTTAGCATTATATATTTAAAATAAAAATTATTAATCCCATTTTCTGAAAGACTTGATAAGTATATATCCAGGAAATAGGAATCTTTATTAATAAATGAAACTTGAATCTATCCCTAAAGAGATCATACTATGGGGGAGTGAAGGTAATTTCGTGTGATCAGTGTCTTTTACTTTCCAAAAGAAATATTATTGGAATGGGCGAAAGCATTTTAGGCTGGTTTTAGTAGTTTAGGTAACTCAGCACTGGTTACCTTTATTCTCTGGGAGTCTTTTGAATCCTCAGACACTGCCTTTTAACTACACTGCATTTTTGAGGCAACATTTTTCCTCATTCGTTAATCAGCTGGGTCCCCAGCCCTAGAGTTACATTGTGCTTCCTAACCATAGTTCATATTGCCAGGCTTCTCTAGTGGTCTCCTCTGAATTCTTCTCTGGTTCTTTGAAGCAGGAAACACAGTCTCCCACGATGTCACCCTTCGCCTCCCCTCCTTCCTCCCCGCCTCATTACCAGAGGGTGCCCTTGAGCCATGGCTACAGCAAACTGCGGAGCAGCACAGAACAGATGCATCCAGGTAAGAGGCGACCTGGGGACCAGCTATCCCAGGCAGTATCTTGGAGACTCCTTAATCAGGCAGCAATGCTACCAGCTGCTTAATTTCCTGATTTAATTACTTTTGTCTTTGAAAACATGATTCAATTTAATTTTGTATTCTCAAGCAAGGTTTTGGTTTTTTTTTTTAATCTATCTCAGTAATATTTTGTCTCCTAGCCTGGAAACTAGATAATCTTTAGACTTGTGTACAACTGTTTAAATGGTTTAATTTTTTATATCTAGATCTCCTTAAACAGGGACATAGCACGTTAAGGGTTTGCATTTTCTGTGATTGTCTTTCCTTTGTGCAAACATATTAAACATGTTTATACAATAACTGCTTTTCTGAAATTCCCTTAAAATATAAGTATGTAAAAGCAAAACAGTTGATCCATCCTTTAAATATTGGCTATATAAATGAAAATATTGAGTCCTCGTGTTTTGGAATAAGTATAAAGGAAATGCTTGGGGTAGCATTTTGCTGAGAAGCATGTAACACACACAGTTGTAGAGTTGCCTGTTTGCTCACATTTATGCTCTGCTGGCTGTGTTAGTGGTAAAAAATGTTAGTTGGTTTCAAGGATGACTTGCAGAGTTGAATGCCCCAGACTGCAATGTTTAAAGCTACATAGATTTGCTGCAGTATATTGTCCATCTGGGTTTAGGCTTCCTAGTTTAAGATACAGCCGATTTAAGGTATTCTAGAATTGGATGTCCTATAACCTCCCCCCTTTTTTTGGGCTATGGCTGAAAATGACCCAGTTTCTGCAGGTTTTTGCTGCATTAAAAAAGTAGTGATTTCTGGAGAGTCACAGAAATAAAAGTGTATGCCCGGCATAACTGAGGAAAGGCTGTGCTCTTGGAGAGAGAAGAGGGTATGGTGCGGTGGAAAGGTCTTTGTATCGGAAACAGAAGATGTGGGCTCCTGTGACTAGATGCGTGACTTCAGGAGAGCTATTTACCTCTCTGAACCATAAGTTCTTCGCTTGTCCTGTAGGAATGTTCTGAGGATTAAGTGAATAAGTATAAAACCTCTTTGGAAATTGAATCCTGTGCAAATACAACATGGTGTTGCTAGTGAATAGCAACAAAAATCACTCTTGAAACTTGAATATTTTGTCAATGTATTGGCATTTGAAACTAAACAAGGTTGAGAATTCTTCATTTTGTCTTTGAGTTTCCCTTGCCTGATTTGCTGGTTGTTACAAGTGGGTCTTTTCTCTATTTGTATTCTTATTTAGGCTTGAAAGTTGATTTTTAATTCATAGGTGAATCTGATATATATCTCCTACTGCTAAGTTCTACTTGGTATTCCTCAAAAAAAAACTTGTCTGTCCTCTATTTCCTGCCCATTCCCTGCATTCCATCCAAACTGGATTCCCATTCACATAGGTCAAGTCTGATTCTCCCCATCTTTCCAGACTGTTAGCAAGGCTTTCCACATGTTCATTCCATTTTATACTTTTTAAGAAGTGTGATAAGTTTATGCATGATAAAATTCACATATTTTAAATTTTCAATTTGAATTTTAATAAATGGATATGGTCATGTAGTCACCACTTACATAAAAGGTAGAACATTTCCATTATGCCAGAGCTGTACCTCTTCACTCACTCCCTAGCTCCACTGCAAACATTGTTTACATTTTTTTAGTGTTGGTTACCTTTCCCTCTTCTAGGAGTTCATACAAAATGATTATACTTGTATATATTTTCTGTCTTTCCCTCAGCATAATGATTCTGCTTCATCTATATTGTTGCATTGGTAGTTCTTTCCATTTTATTATTCAGGTGAATCATTGCATGAGTATACAACTTTGCTGGTTATTCTTTTGTTGATGGACATTGAGTTGTTTTCTGTGTTTGGCTATTATGAATAAAGATACTCTGAACATCTGCACATGTGTCTTTTTGTAACCTATGCTGTCATTTCCCCAGCATCCAGGAGTGGAATTACTGGGTTTTAGGGTGGGTATATAAGAAACTACCAAACAGTTCTTGTTTGATACTAAACTTCAGAGTAACGACATTTTAAGGAGTTTAAAAAAATACTCCTCTTCTTGGACAGAGATTGTGCTTGTAGTTCTTTGTTAAGCCTCCTATGAGGAGACTGAAAAACTATTTGGTTTTCATTGAGTTTAATGTTTTGGATTTACTAGGGAGCAAAGAGAGTTGAGGTAATAAGTAACACCTACTTTTTACCTCCTGAGTGCAGATCCAATTGAGGAATCAATCAGAAGTCAGACCAATGGTGGCCTGAATGTCAGCTTTGTTGCTCATCCAACTGACTGGAGCATGTGTCTTAAATGTGTGGCTGGATGGACTTCTGATGCTCACTCTTCCAGTCTCAGGCAGTGGGCTGGCCTAGGTTTTCCACACAGGAGGAGAAAAATCTGCCTTTCCAAAATGACCTTGCATGTAGCTGAGCTTCATCCAAGACTCACTGATGCAATACATCTGTCTCTCCAAGGGAAGGTCTTTGGAGGTACAGGATTAGTGCTTACAGCCAGATGGTAGCCTCCTTCCATCGTGTCTCCCCTGAGCAGTAGAAAGTCCCTGCTTCTTATGGGAAGCAGAAGCATGTGGGATTCATGGGCTTTTCTTTTCCGGGAGAGCATAGGACCATGAAGATTCTAAGCAGGTTACAGTTTACTTGGTTTAAAACCTTCTGGAAGAATAGAGTTGAAACATTTAATTTGGTGTTCCATCAACATGGAATGATTTAAAATGTAGTACTTGTTAAAAGACAGTGCCTGCCTACCAGCAGAGACCTATTTTTTTTAAAGAATTGAATTGTATGCTTTCTTTGTATTTTTTTCCTGCAGTTTATACATGTGGATTCATCTCTAGCAGTTTTATGAAAATCCACTTAATTACTGAGTTGAGAGAAGGATAGGAGAGGGAGTGGGGCAAAGAGATATGTAGGTATGTAAGCAGGATGGCTTGGACAACTACACTGTGGCTATCTGCTGGTCTATCAAAAGAAGCAGTTAATGCTTAATTTGTTTTGTCTCCTTTTTTCAATTGTTTCTTCTTTTTCTCCTCTTAACTTATTATATATTTCTTT